TAACAGGCGCAATATCGGCTGTATATATTTGGAGATATAATTGGGGAAGGATGTTTTAATTTATGTGCTCTGTGATGAGAGAGGGACCGGTGATATAGGGCCTTTTAGAGGGTGGGACAGTGGGTTTGATGTATATTCAATCTAGTCAATTTGGTATTATTGAATTGTTGGAAATAAGTATAATTCTAACATTCATAAAGTACCTGCAAGATTTAACCGAAATATCAAATGAAATGAATAAAAAAGTAGATATATTATTTAATCATTTGTCTTCAATCTTATATTTTTCATATAAGACGTTATGCAATTTCTAAAGAAACCGCCTCTCAGTTATAACATAAATGTCCCCTTGTCTATATTGAATTCAATATGAAGAAAGCACGCGCGGAAACATCTGAGACATCTGGATATACAAATCTCTTGAGAAACTTCTGTCTCATCTAACGGCATTACGAACACAATAATCTTGCGGTTAATTAGTTCTTTTTAATATACAGAATTATGCTGTCTTTTAAATAAGTATTTTGAAAAGCAATACAGCTTTAAGAGCAAAAATCCCAAGATGACACAAAAAAACATTTTCCCTTCTTAACACAAGATTAACTGAATTGTACTTAAAACAATTATAAAAGATAGCAGTCTACCAAGTTTACTAGGATCTTCATTAAACCTTCTATAATATTTCTAAATCACGCCATTCAGCCGGAATAATTCAACAATAATCACTCATTTTCTCAGAAAGGGACATGATCTATAGCGTGACGTCTGTAGCATATTCTACGAAAAGAACAAATGTAAGTATAATGCTTCTACCACTTCGTTTTCATTTAAATATTCTGCAGTTCTGTCAAAACGATTTGTCCTTCAGTTTTTAAATTAAATATAGGTCATGTAAATTATATTTAGTATGTTTAACAAAACAATAGTAGTGCATAGTATATACAAGGGGCAGGACGTGAAGTGGTTGCACACTTGGTTCAAGCGAGCGAATCGGTTGCAATTATCACTCATGTACAGACTCAATCAAACCGAGTCTGCAATTCTTATGTTATTTTGTTGTGATTAATGCTTCCGAGGGATCACTTTGTTTCCAGAATTTTGACAAAATGGCGAACACGGGTTGATTTTTTTAAACGCGTACACGATTTTTTGCCAGGCAAGTGGGTTTCTTTGTTACTTTGAAGTTCATTAGTATGTCTATTCCATAATGCAATATATATGCCACACTCGGTTAAAGGTCTCAGCATCCTAGATTATGTTTTGACGAAGTTATTGAAGATATAAACTGATCATGTAGATATTTTGAGTTTTGACATGTGACTGTTTTGGTCGGGTTTTCTCCTAATTTATTCGAATTTGTAAGTTTTGAACTGCATTTAACAATAACAAAATATGTTTCTGTCAATGCTGTACAAATGGTTTAGTTCGCAAGTCCGAAGATAGCGTTCAATACACAAAAATATCTTGTTCAAGCACATTTTGGTTGCAGACTTATACTTCACGCATTTTTGGTTGCAAACTTTTTTGTCATTAATGTGGCATCCATATTTTAGCGAGGAATAACTAATCATTTTTTAAAATAATTAGCAATAATTAGGCAATTATACCCGTTCATCTAATAAGACACACACACATATATACAAATTGTGCATGCGTGCAGATATATCCTAGCACAGGGTCTTTCAAATAGGTATATGCTAAATTGAAGTTCAACTTGAAATGTGTTAAATTGTGACTTTGTATGAATTATAATAAAATTCCCCTTGAAATATTAAAAACATTCTGCATTCATAAATAGTAAAAACATAGTGAAAATAGTGAGTCTGACGAAGTTCTAGAAATATATACATGTATAGGAATAAACGTATCATTTAATTATCATTAGAATCATTAATGTTTATTTCATGAAATGAAAATCCAAAGTAAATTTTCACACAACATGTTTAACAAAATTTCAACATGTTTATTCAATATATTTTTGTCTTTTTCATACTGATGATACAAAGTTCAAGAATGGATGTTTCTGACGATGAATCTCTCCTTCGTTGTGGAATATGTGAGAAATCGTTTCGATCTAGATTTGGTTTAACACGTCATCTGGCATCACATGATTCAACGTCATATACATGTGACACATGTAAGAAAGAGTTTACCAACAAACATTCTTTAAATGAACATATGAAACTGCACCTCCCGTTTAAACACCTCTGTTCGGTTTGTGGTAAAGGTTTCATTAAACCCTGTTTGCTTAAACAACATGAAAGGACTATCCACGCAGACATTTCGCCTTATAAATGCTCAACTTGTGGGAAAACCTTAAAAACCGAGCGGTGCTTCAAAGTTCATTTAAAATCTCATTCAGATACTCCCCGCACATTTCAATGTTGTTATTGTGGTCATGAGTTTTCTTACAAAAGCAGCTTGGTTAGACATACGAAACAGTGTAATTCATCAAAAGCACCATTTACCGGAAATTTGAATACTTGTAAAAAATGTGGAAAGTCGTTTAAAGCTGGAAGACTTCTGAAACAACATTTGAAAATACATGAACCTCCAAAATATACCTGCCATGTTTGTGGAAAATCATTCCATTGGAAAAAGTGTCTACGACTTCACTTGAAGGCATGCGTAGTGGAAGAGAAGAGGGATAAGTAAACCTTTAAGACCTAAATACAGAAAAAATGATTTATAGACAATTATCACAGGAGCTGATTATATGTCTTTCATATTTTTTATTTTTTATGCCCCATGGCATATAGTAATTGAACCGTCTGTCCGTACAAGGTTGACCTTATACGTCAAGTTTGTTTTTTCTTAAGCTCTACCTTTACCATTGTCTTCATGCATAATTTACACAATTATTAATCTATACAAAGTACATGACCTGGGCAAGTTACATAGCTAAGGCTTCCATTTTTACCAAGTTATTGCCCTTTTCCGCACTTTGAAAATGAATATTATTAACCTTAATCGGCAAGTTGCATATATCTAAAGTCGTATATTAATATATTTATATATCCATACTTAGGTATCAATACAAAGTACATGATATTGCCAAGTTTTGTAAGTTATAATTTATAACTGTGGCATCCGTTTTCCCCAGTTATTGTTCTTCTCATCACTTTGAAAATAGGCTCTAGTATGGTTAACCTATTCGGGCAAGTTGGTTTTATCTTACATTTCTTTTAATTACTTCATATTTAAATGATCTCTTTCATATTTGGTAAGTAGATACCTAAACACTTTTTATATAACCTTTGTATTTTTATAAGTGTGTCATGTTTAACAGAAACACACCTAAGGTAGCCCTTTAGGTTTGGATGGAGTTGGGGTCACTGGGTTCAAAGTAAAGTCTTGAATATATATATATATATATATATATATATATATATATATATATATATATATATATATATATATATATATATATATATATATATATATATATATATATATATATATATATATTAGCAATGACTTGCCAACTTACATTTTTTCACAATTATAAAACGCAATCACTCTTCAAGTTATATTTTATAACTCTGTTTACAATTATTTCGGCATTTTTGAATTTTCTGAAATAGTGTTACTGTAATGAATCTAAGCCGGGGCATTTGTGTTAAACAAACACGCTCTTTTTATTTGTATTCTTTATATCATTCATGTTTAATCTTTACTAAGACAGAAAATCGCAAGTCGCATTTTCATGATTCATGTTTATTTTCTGATACGATGAGTATTACACTGATTAAACTGAGAAACAAATATTCTTTTATTGGTATTATTTATGTGCTCTATCCGATGATAATTTTATTCCCACCAAAATCATTTCGTGGTACTGCCAGTAGATAAATATATTGATAAATCTAGTCTAATTGATAAAGTTGGTAATTTAAGTCCTTCTGCAAGTAGAATTGCTTAGAAGCTGGTCATATGACTTATACGACCGTGTGACTTAGAAAATGGAACCAAACATAGAATGACGATTATATCGATTACATCATGGTGGAGTCTATAAGTACATGTAACAGTCCTTAGTAAGACAAGTATAACAAGTAAGACACAGTGAATTTCTGCCTTTTATTTATGTAAATAGTTCCAACATAGCATAATTCATGTCTACCTACGTAAAACAATAATTTCAAAATGGTCTCAAATATTGCGTAGTAAGGTAGACGAATTTAATAAAATTCCATGGCTGTTTAGCAACAATTACAACCATTCCTACAAGGTCAGATAAAAACAACAATTACAACCATTCCTACTAGGTGAGGTAAAAACAACAATAACAACCATTCATACCAGGCCAGAAAAAAACAACAACAATTTAAACCATTCCTACTAGACCAGAACAAAAAAACCAACAATTACAACCATTCATACCAGGACAGAAAAAACAACAATTACAACCATTCCTACTTGACTAGAAAAATCAACAATTACAACTATTCATACAAGGCCAGAAAAAAAACAATTACAACCATTCCTACTAGACCATAAAAAGCAACAATTACAACCATTCCTACTAGGCCAGAAAGAAAACAACAATTACAACCATTGCTACTAGACCAGAAAAAAAACAACAATTTAAACCATTCCTACTAGACCAGAACAAAAAAAAAACAACAATTTCAACCATTCATACCAGGACGGGAAAAAAAAACAATTACAACCATTCCTACTAGGCCAGAAAAAAACAACAATTTCAACAATTCCTACTAGGTGAGATAAAAACAACAATTACAACCATTCATACCAGGCCAGAAAAAAACAACAATTTAAACCATTCCTACTAGACCAGAAAAAACAACAATTACAACCATTCTCATTAGGCCAGAAAAAAACCAACAATTACAACCATTCCTACTTGGCCAGAAAAATCAACAATTACAACTATTCATACCAGGCCAGAAAAAAAAACAATAACAACCATTCCTACTAGACCATAAAAAACAACAATTACAACCATTCCTACTAGGCCAGAAAAAACAACAATTTAAACCATTCCTACTAGACCAGAACAAAAAAAAACAACAATTACAACCATTCATACCAGGACAGAAAAAAAAACAACAATTACAACCATTCCTACTAGACCAGAAAAAACAACAATTACATCCATTCCTACTAGGCCAGAAAAAACAACAATTACAACCATTCCTACTAGGTGAGATAAAAACAACAATTACAACCATTCATACCAGGCCAGAAAAAAAACAATGACTATTTGGCCAGTTACAATAGTTACAAGTAAAACATTAGGTATAGCTCATATTGAAAATTACTCATTGTTAGTAAAAAATTCCAATGTACCTTTGTCAATAAATGCAGAAAGATCATTAACCTTATATCAAATAAGTAAAGTCGGAAACATGTTTGTAAATCACAGCATCAAGTCAAATTGACTTTTCTAATGTTTATCATATTTCAAAGCCATAATTATGTATTTTAATCAAAGCACTAAGTTTAAATTAAACTTGCATGTTAAACATGGCACAAAGTAAAAACATGTACATTAATTAAAGCTATGTAAATTAAAACACAAACTCAAATGCCTTTATGTTAATCATAGCACAAACTCAAAAACATGTATACAAAGTACAGTATATGTATATTATTGTGACTAATAGTTATCTACATGAATGTTAATCAGAACACAAAGGGAATGTATGTGCTCAAAGTATTATCTTTATGTATCTTAATATCAAAACAATTTCAAATATTTGTCTTAATCGTAGCATAAATTTCAATTTTAATCAATCATATACCAAAGTAAAAGATGTGTATTTTAATCACAGGAAAAAAATCAGATGTGCACACGATGATGTTAATCACAGTGTTAGATATTTACATATATGTTTACAAAAAACAAATTTGTAAGTCATATAGCTCTGCATGTTTGTGTCAATAGCAGCAAAATGCGTGTAGTTTATACCGATATACCGATGATATTACAATAGCAAAGAAAGGTATGCTTGCCACGCTATTCTATTTATCAATATCGATTTGACATGAACATTCAAATACGATCACATCAGTCATAACGTAATACTATCACCATTTTGCATCGAAAAAGTTGCATCATTATATATAAAACCACTGTAAAAAGTATTACTTTCATAAATATCGTTACGCAAATACCAAAACTATGCCAGTCATAGTAATAAACTTGTCTATTATACAATAGCAACTCCAATTAATATTCCAACTCAAAACCATTCAACTATGCAAAAGTCAAAAAGTTTTTCATTCAGGCTTCCATAGAAGTAACAGGCATTTCATCGCTGTTAAACAGTTGATCATTTAGTTAGTTCATCTAATAATTTTTCGGAAATACCCTGTCTTAATGAAGGTAATATTCTAGATTCGTCGACTTTATAGTGTGACCGTACAGGTTGTACGCCTCTTGGAATATCATTAAGTTTTCTAACAGTTCCGTGCTTTGGTACGCCTCCTCTCCTTTGATCGAATTCATGATCCCTGAAATAGAATTTCAAAATTATGAGAACTACATAGTTAACTTTAAACCACTGTTGAAAATTTACATTTTATTATAATTATATAGAGGTTAAGAACACCTTATTTCGTGCATTAACAAAAGCAAAAGCACGAGGTCACATTTAAGCAAGATTATGTAGGTGTTTATGCACAAAAATGTGCATTAGTTCTTATCTTGAGTTAAAGTATTAGTCCGATCTGGTAATAACGCCTTTCGTTGCTGTTTGTATAAAGAAATTAATTTTGTAATGATTTAAACGCGCGAGCATATAAATGTCATTCGACATTTATATTTGTAAACAATGAAAACAAACCTGGTGATTATTTCTGATATGCGTGAGTCAACATTATATCCAACCATCGGTATTTTTTCAAACTTGTTGGCCGTCATGACGTCTGGTATTTCATAGCATCTCGATTTTGACGTCTTCATTTGAAATGATCTGCAAAAAACATGATATTTGGTTTAAAATATATTAAAGCATAAATCAATTTGTTGATAAATCATTTATAAACATACTTACGGCTGAGTGTCGACATCTCTTAATCGTCAACTATTGGTGTATTTTTGTATAACAATGTTCCAAAAATATTATTAAAGCATAAAATCAAGTAAAATCAATTTACAAAAAGTATTCTTTACCGTTCCGGATTGAGTCTCATGCATGTAGCTGTGATATTTTTACTCATATCAGAAGGTAGTGTGTTGCCTGATGGAACTCCGTGGTTATTTTGCGACCTTTCTGCCAATTCTCCCATGAAATTTTCTGCCACAAGTGTTGATACGGCGCGCAATTGTACGTTCCAGTTTTCACCATTGAATACAACATCACATGTGCATCAATACTGCATACTAAACCTTCAAAAGTAACAACGAGGTATGCCTTTGACATACTGTGAAACAGGCGGAAACTTTGTATAATCGTAATTCTCCATTAGCCAGTTTCGAAAATTAATACTGCGATAACATCTTTCAAAAGCAGAAATCCCCGGCTTGTCTTCTGCCTCATGCCATTGTCTGAACAGCTTGCAAAAGTTTGCTTCGAAATAATCGCCATTTGCAATCATTACTGATTCCACTTTTTCGCTAAACATTGTACGTACATAGGGGTCACTTTGCTGATGCATTATTTTTCCATCATGTTGTACTTCTAGCATAGCAGGCGCCAGATCGGTTTCTCCGGTATTTGCAACTTTCTTCCAGGCTTCAATATGTACGTTGCCTAATCCATGGCGAATTAACTTTGATTTCAGATTAGTACGCAAATGTGTTCCATCTAATATACGAACTTCAAGTTGTTGTCTTTCCTCTACGTACTCTGGTGAATAAACTGGCGAAAACGTTATTTCATTCGTTTCATTTTCAATATATTCGTCACGTTTTATGACAATTTGCTTCTCAACATACGAACTTTTCAAACCATTGGTCCTCAGAACATGGCCATGTGCTTCTTGCATATGCAACAGACAACACGTCTTTAGGATAGCTACGTTTTTGAATTACATTGACACATAACGTTTTCAAGGATGTAACGTTTTTCTTTCGACACTGCCTCTTGGGAACAGTAACACTCGAAGTAATGCCAATAACTGAGCAAATTTTGTTAATTTTTTCTGTTTTTCGAAGGTTTTGACTAATCTTAATGCCATGTTTTAAACCTTTTATGTTAAGATATTTGACTATTTCATTTAGTTCCTGACCAGTGAATTCTGAATTCATTACAGTTGCCGATTTAAAAATGGTCGATATTTCAGTATGACTTTTATTATGCCACTTCTTTCTTTTAGTTTTTACAAGAGTTTTTTGTAAAATTGTAAAATCTTGTTCATTCATCTGAATTGTATTCAGAACAGGACTATCGACATGGGGTGCGGAGAGTGAGCTTTCAGTTACTTCTTCGCCTTCATAATTCCTGCTGCTATTAGTATTCTGACTATTGTGGACATCTGAATTATTCTCTTTTGTCTGTGATTCCAATGTCTCCAGTATAGAAAGAACATCTTCTTCAAGTCCAGCTGAATCAGATATTCCGATCTCATTCAAAACATCATGTGATTGTTTACAAATTTTCTTATGCAGAATTTCTATAGGCGTCTCCACAGGCAAACATTTGTTTTTATTATGTACCTGAAAGTATGATTTTATTGCTTTAATTTCACCATCGTCCATAATAACGGCATCAGTTACTTTACTGTATTCTGGCTCATTAAATAGGCTTCCAATTTTTATAAGAAGTTCCCTTTTACTTTTCTTTTTTATTTCCAACCATACCTGCCGCTGAAGAGCAAATAAAGTCAAAGGTTTTCCGTACTTATCAACATCCTTTAACTTTGCAAATTGTCCATCAAAAGTCGTACACGGTACATGGACATTATAATTACTGCATGCGTTCATAACTTCATCAAGAATTCTCCTTGCTGTACTCATGGTAAGGCTATAACCCTTGAACAAGTAAGTAATTGGCATACCGTGTCCTATTTCCCTGTGCCATGTTCTAGACATATCACTTAAAAGATAAACTAACACTTCAGATGCCATTGGTTTTTCATATGTATGTGCTTCATTTATGTTCTTTATAGCTTTATGCATATTTTGCACAAGACTGTCTAAACTCATGTTAAAAGTGTTGATTGTAAATGGATCTTCCTGTTGCTTGTAATACATATTGTCTTTGGTTTTATAGCTCCGCGGAGAAGAATTAGCAGTAACTGAAGCAAATTCACCAATGAAATCTGCTTTTGATATGTCTTCTTTTATATCTGATTTCATCTTCATCACCTTGTCTGATATCTTTGTCGGTCTTGAAGGACATTCATTGTAGTAAACATGTTCAATCTCTTCAATTACAGACTTGTACAAATTTTTGTTTGATTTTAAACGGAAAACAGTCGTTGATTGGGGACTCCAGCTTACGTATAAATGTTCATCAGCTTTCAGTACATTTGCTTCCAAGCAGTTTTGAATCATGTGACGATTCTTTACCTCGTAGTATACCGGTGTAGCTCCAACATAGACGGAAAATGGACATTTTAATTCAACTGATATCACATTCGTCCCATCTCTTAAGCTTCCATCTGGTGATATGATCATCAATTTTTTACCCTCTTTATTTTCAATAACATAAGCTCCTTCCTCATGAAAAGTATATTCTGGAAAATAAACAGGCATGACCTTACTAACTAGAGTAGCAATGGCATTTATTTCATTTAAAGTCCCATGGTCGAGCGCTTTCTGCAGGCCTTCGGGTTTTTCTGTCTTTTCTAATCTACACTCACAATAAGCTTCATCAAAATATGCTTTTTGAGCAGAAAGAGATTCAAGACCTAAAGCTTTATAGGCAACGCTTCCAGTAACTTTTACATCTTGTCTCCTTGAAAACCACTGTTTGCTTCTTTGTTTGACGAATTGTAACGGGATATCTTTTTCATCTTTAAAAATGTCGTTCTTTAATTCTTCTGGGGATCTAAGTTCCCTGTAATTTTTTTGCACAGTCATATTGCATCTTTCATTTTTAAACTCATCCTCACTCATGTTTGCTGATGCACATGACATCATAATGACATCAATAACCTCCAAAATTCCCTTAATACATATGTTGATTTGATACAGCAGAGTTTTAATCTTATTGACTACAAATTTATATTTTCCGTCATGAGTCTCCTCTAGCTTTTTTTCAGTACTCTCGATGTAAATGGCCTTCTTACAGTGTATTATTCGTAAAGATTTGATTACGGTACTCAGTGTATAAATTACTGACTTACTACTGCTAACAAAAAATGATTTGTCAATTAAAAGACATTTCCCGAAACACTCGTTAATCTCTTCCCTTTTCCATCATACTTTCTATTAATGTCTTGATAAGTTTGAAGTTTTTGTAAACAGTTTTATGATACTTTTTCTTAATATCTTCAATCCGTGGTTCGTCTTCTTGAAAATTAAGGAGAAAAATGTCGCAGAAATTTGGTGTTAATTTTCTTTCCATCATACATTATAGCAAACGAGGTATCTTTTCATTGATTTGTTCATAGATATTTTTGTTTTTTCAGAATCCCAGGTTCAAGGTTATCACTATCGGAATGTAAAATTGATTTTGGTTTTGAAATCACTTTGAACTCTGTCTGATGGAACAAGGCTAAGTTTAATACCAGATGATGACGGATTATAAGTAACCCATTGGTGCTTTTCCTTCTTTAGACATGACCGTGGTGTGCAAAACCGCGCATAAATCTAATAAATTGACCTCCCAATAATTTCTGTCCAGTCCAAAAAAATTCTTTAGTTTCTTCTGAATATCTCATCCCAGAAGTTGTTTGGCAATCATGCCAGTGCAAAGCGTCTCTGAATAAACAATATGAAATACATGATGTTGAAAATTTTCCATCTTTAACCAATCGTGTTAAAAGAGATTTTGTTTGCTCGATCTCATTTTCTGGAGGGGTGCATGTGTCATTTCCAGAATCTATTAATGAAAAGTTAGCATCTTGTTGAGCATTGTCTAATTTTGAATTTTTTAACAGACATGACTGTGCTTCATTTTCAAATTCCAACATTCTTCTTGAATTTGAGGATAGTGTGACTTTGTCAATATTAACTGATTTTAAGGTACTAGTAGTCTTCCGAAAGTACTTTATGGTACATTTTCTTTTGGGGGTTTTAGACGGAGAAAATGTCATGTGCCTTTTTAGAGAGAATTTGCACTTGATGAAATTAGGTGTTGAAATGGTGCATTGTTTTTTAAATGGAATATAGTTGTGTTTATCTTCATCATTTTTTCTCCTCGATGTCCTTTTTTTCTTGTTACAAAGTCTTAGGACCTTTTTATATCTTGGCATGATTTACTGTAAAGGAAAAGAAAAACAAATCAGCAACAAACAGCTTTCATTATTGTTCGTTTTTTAGATTTGAAATAAGTTTGATTATATGGTAGTAATAAACTATATTAACATTGACACAAGGGCATTATCCATATGTCAACAATTCACATGTTTCTTTTTTGTTCCTTTTTGTTGACCAATCGAAACATCTTCCTAATTCCCTAACTCGGAACAATGACTTTAAGTAGTTTTGTCACGTATCAGTCAATGTAAATAACCAATCATATATCAGTTATATTATGATCTAATAATCAAAATCATCTTTAGAATACCCATTGACATATGATGTGCATCAAATCCGAAATATTGTAAACAAGCATGTCATTTTAACTTTTGGTTTGTAAAAATATTTTAAGTATATTTACATACTTTATGTCTAAAGCAACTTCTGATCTTTACATAGGAATCATACAAATTAACATTTCTTGTGGTTTTGATAAACTTTGGAAATTTTGCCGAGTAACATCGTATTTATGCACATGTCCTTACGTTTATGATGAAAATAATGCATTTACATACATCAGAACTCTCACATACGTTTGGTTTGTATGTAGTTTTCATTTGCATTTTACATATGATGACATATTTTAGAATTAAAGTATCAATAAATATTTGTCTATATATGCTATTATTTTTTACAGGCATTTACTGATGATTATTGTATTGAACTGACACCATGTAATTTGAAACATAAACTGCATAATTGTTGTAGCAATAACATGTATAAAAAACAAGTAACAGAACATAAATGTCAATAATTGCCATTGAAAATAGGTTAATAAATATAACCTTTTACACTCCTTTTGCAAAGTTTTACTATGGATTTTAATAAAAATAAGAATAAGTTTGCAACCAAAAATGCGTGAAGTATAAGTCTGCAACCAAAATGTGCTTGAACAAGATATGTTTGTGTATTGAACGCTATCTTCGGACTTGCGAACTAAACCATTTGTACAGCATTGACAGAAACATATTTTGTTATTGTTAAATGCAGTTCAAAACTTACAAATTCGAATAAATTAGGAGAAAACCCGACCAAAACAGTCACATGTCAAATCTCAAAATATCTACATGATCAGTTTATATCTTCAATAACTTCGTCAAAACATAATCTAGGATGCTGAGACCTTTAACCGAGTGTGGCATATATATTGCATTATGGAATAGACATACTAATGAACTTCAAAGTAACAAAGAAACCCACTTGCCTGGCAAAAAATCGTGTACGCGTTTAAAAAAATCACCCCGTGTTCGCCATTTTGTCAAGTTTGCAACCGATTCGCTCGCTTGAACCAAGTGTGCAACCACTTCACGTCCTGCCCCTTGATATAGTCAGACACAGAATGTGATTTTGTACAAGTTTAAAAAGTAACATATTTATCCCTCTACTCTTTTGTTACTAAGTTCAATACATTTACTTTACATGTGTTTGACTTTCTTAACTGTCAAATAATTTTAAACGTATTTATGAATACTAACATTTGACCATTTAAAAAGCGTAACACTGTTGTGTTTAATGTGTGAGCATTATCTCTTTTCATCTCTCAAAAAAATAAAAAAGTGAGGGGTCACTTCGCCTGCCTGAGTTAAAAGAATTGTTAGGCAAACGATTACAGATAATAAAGTTATTGTTTATAGATAACAGAGTCGTGAAGACAAGAACGTCTTGTATTAACATTGCATGGCAGCCTAACAAAAAGAGACAACTTTGTCAAGTTTAATTACTTCCCTACATCAGAATTCTATAAGGCAATGTTAAAGCGATATAATTCCAACACTATTTAAGTGTTATTGTAGACAAGAGGAACCCATTGGTCTTATTAATGATAAACTCAACCATTTGAATGCAAGTGTAGCATATCTTCTAGGCTAAACAAATATAACGACAATTCGTTCGAATAGTAAATGTTCTGAAATGTTAAGAACGTTTAAAAATCAACAAATTTCTGGAAAAAAGTTATCCGTCGGAAGCACTAAAAGCAACAAAATTGCATGAAAATTGTAGACTCGGCATGATTGAGTCTGTATATGAGGGATAATGAAAAGTAGTACATCCCTAGCACCAGATTGAGCGTTACCCAAAGTCTTAATAGTGTAAGACACAATGAGTTCCAAATATCCCTTTTATGAATTGTTTTAATAATGTATGCACATATATCATTTACCTCTGTGTTCGTTGTTACGGTATCTTAAATAAGAAGAAAGTTTGATGAATATTATGATCATATATTATCATCAGTTGACAATTAAAAAAAAAATATTTTTTTTGTTGTTGTTGTTTTTGGTTGTTCTTTGTTTCTTTTTTTCTGTTGTTGTTTTTCAGCCAACAATTTGTTTGCACATTTAAAACTTATTATTCCTAAACATTCTGCATAAAATAGTGAAATAAAAACATTTGTCGACAATCCATTAACCTATTAGCAATAGTTATCCATTCCTTAACTGATTAGAATACCAACTTGCTGCATTCAAAGAATGGAAACTGGAAGCAATTCTGTGTGCATTTCTAAGGCACCTTATCTACAACATCGACAATACAAGAGATAGCTTAATTGGTATAATTGGTATAATAACAGTTCATTAGCGCTTCTTCATAATTATTCTTCCTTCGACAGTCTAGCGATAATAATTTGTTTTCATGTTTTGAGGTCACACACGCGTCTGCCTCACAATGAGAGTAAGAGGACGGAAATACATTTATATACGTATGTTCGTTTCTGGCGACGATCTTTCTATGTTTCGTACTTGATGCTTATTATTTAACTTTAAATTAGCCTTTTTCCAATTTAAAAACAGCATTATTTAAATCGGGGCTTAATGGATATCTGGCATATATCTAATGTTTAATTATCACTGTCCTCTATATTATACTCGTATACATAGAAAATCTGAAATAGATGTCATATAATTTACTAACTCATGTTACAGGATGGACAAATGGACAAACAGATTAAATTTAAAATTCAAATAAGAAGAACATAGGGAATTCAGACTTCAACAGTTTTATGCAAAATAGATTTTAGATAAGTTGTTTCTATGTTGATTTCTTAAAGTAAAAACATGTTTAGTTTATATTACATAGAGGTTGTGTTGCATTTGAATTACAAAGAGACTATGTTGTAATTATCAATATTTTCTAATATCCAATTCGATCAAAGTAATCTTTAATGAAATATATCTGTTCGTGTTATTGTTTATAGAATTTCATGTTTAACAGACGCATTACCGATAACTGATATTCTAAACATCTTTTAAATGCATCATGTCAGAAAGATTGTAAAAAAACTTCTATTCTGGAATTACTAGCCTAAACATAACAAATTTATATGCATAAAAATATTAGAAAGACACTAAGATCTGATATTTGCATGACCTTGATGATTATCAATAAATGTGTTGTATTATTATAACTTGTTAAACCGAGCAGAAACCGAGCAGTATATTTTCTTCGCACAAAAACTAAAATCGTATAACCATTGTGAGGCAGCCAAACTAATCGTTACATGATAAATGATGTTATTTCCTTTAAAAAAAAGATGTTTGTTAGATGATACTAAATTAGGGGGTGGTTGAGGGAAAGATATTTGGCAAAACAGACAACAATAGTATAAAACATCTTTAATTGGAGTTGCGTTATGGTGAACTGTCTTTTGATAAATAATTTGATTAATAAAGAAAAACTAGCAGTTGTATTAGAAGTTATCAGTTACGTGAGTGTATTCACAAGAATATCAGGGAAAACGTGATCATCGGAAACATTTTGAACAGCAAAATTATAAGAAAAATGCAGTCTTGGTTTGATTGATGGATAATTAAACAGTGCAACAACCCTGGCTGCAAGAAATTAATGTGATAAATAATATCGTCAGGGAAAAGCGGCGTTCAATATAC